GGCTTTATTTAAAAAAAAAATGATTTCCAATGCGCACAAACTTCCCAGAATACTGAGTGCTCTGTTCGTTACAGTTTACTTCCTTTTTAATTATATTGTTATTAAATATTTATTTGTGGAAAATACTTTGTCATCTAAAGTATAAGTATGTTTATTTTACAAATTAATTTTTTTATCAATTTTCAAATGATTTCAAATTTCTTAAATATTAATTAAAATAAATACAATTATATCGGCCATCGGCCACCCTGCTTTCCAAGATATCGGCATCGGCTGTCAAAAAACCAATATCGGTCGACCACTACACTACACCACTGATAATATTATGTTTATAATTTTAAATGATAAATATCTTATTACCATTATTATTTTGTTGTTTCTGTACTCTAAATTTCCAGGAGAAGGGCCAAGCACACGCCTACTAGCATTTGCATATGAAAATAACTGCTGAAGAGTAAAAAAAAAAGGCATTCAATTTTGCATGATCTGAATTAAATTTTGCATGATCTGAAAACATTCTCTGCTAATCACAAACACATAAAACATTTACACAAATACAGCTGTCCTGAAAACTAACAAAGAATCACATTTCTAATGATTTGAATCCAAACATCCTCAAAAACATAGCTTTGACCAAACATGTATGTGATATTATTATCCAGTGCACAATATAAATGCAAGAACTGATCAATGAATGAAAGCAACACAAGTCGGTTTGGACAGAAGTGTCTGCCAAATGCATACATGGAAAGTTCATTTTAGACGATTTTAACAGGAGAATGGATTTTTTGAATAAAAACATCTGTAAATGTTTGTACATGAAGTACGATCTTTCTGAGGTGATGCTGTTTGTTTTGCATAGAATCATGAATCACATTGTCCTTCATTTACATGATCCACAAGGACATTTAAACTGAAAAATAAAGATAAATTAAGATAAGATTTCACACAACACAAAGCCACCCAAAAAAAATCTATCTGTTTATCTATTTATATTATTTAATCAGCTTAAAATGATGTGAAACATACACTCTGGCTCTTAAACCACTTAGCAAATCGTGACTGCTATCATCAGTCTAATGTTTTAAAGCAGATTTATACATGATCAGACAATGAACATCTTCAATCAGGCTGAGATTCATCTGAAATCATTCATTTGCAGATACTAAATCAAGGAACATTTAATTAATAAATACAGAGATGGCACAATGACTTTTTGTGATATTCTTGGATATTACACTAAAAGACAGCTGTCATTCAAAGATTCAGTCTAAATGTGTAACATCTACTTTACAAGTATAATGAGGAATCATATTATAATGAGTGTCCTCAGATGATCCACCAAAACACACCAGGAGGAGGAGCTGCAAAAATAATGATGAACACATTTTGCATATCTGACTGTGAAATTCCCTTCTTAGCATAACAAATCCATTAAAAGAGCACAAGATTGGGAACTTGAGAAACATACTGAAACCTCACTATCACTGAAGGTAGGCCAACATTTCATCAGTCTGTTCTTAGAGCTATTTCAGAAAGTATGAACAGTTATGCTGAATTTCCACTTCGACTGATTCACGTAATGTTGTACTGGGTAATGACAGTTGTGTCAGCTGATTTTTTTAGTTTTATGACTTTTATCATTAATATACTGTTCTTATTTTTCTTTTCTGATAGACATGTCATTTTACTGCATTATTTTCTTATATTTTCATAATTTGGCTGCACAGCACAGATGTTGTCCATAAAACTGAAAATACACACGTTTCCTTGTAAAAAATATATAAATTTAACTGATAAAATTAAGCTAATTTAAATTACTTTGTTTTTCCAGAGACAAAACCACTGGCAAAATGATGGACCATATTTGGCTTCAAATCCTCTCTCTTGCAGGTAAAACATTATGCAAATCATTAAAATAGCATTTAAAAAAATTCTAACAAAATTTCAAACCATATAAATATAAAATAAATGAGACCAAATGACTTGATTTCGCATATTTCTGCTCTTTTTACATACAGTGATATGACAAAAAGTGGTGTGAAATGTAATACAAATCTTTGTAGAGGAGAGTGAGCCTTTACTTAATTTCCTCAATAGTAATAATATAATTGAATAATATGTTGAGTCAATGAGTCAATGCACTGTACTGCTGTTACACTCTATAGAATGATATTAAAATCAAATCCTTGTTTAATCTTGGCTGAACTAGGCCTATATTTAAATCAAGATTCTATCACTCAATCTACAATATTTGACCACTGCTTACGACAGAAAAAAAAAAAATAATAATAATTTCTGAAACATCAAACCTGTGATGTTCCAAACATGCAAAATCAAAGGCATCCTCACTTGACAAGCTCTCTTCCAACTTACTCTTGTGGTTGTATCGGACAATTAAGAGAAGGGGTGTGGACTCGAGTCGCATGACTTGGACTTGACTCGGACTCGAGTACCAAATTTGATGACTTGCGACTCGACATAATTGTGACCCTGGACCAGTTACTGGTCGACCGATATTGTTTTTTTGACAGCCGATGCTGATGCCAATATCTTGGAAAGCAGGGTGGACGATGGCCGATATAAACCCGATATAATTTTATTTATTTTATTTAATATTTAAGAAATTTGAAATTATTTGAATATGGATGAAAAAATAAATGTGTAAAATAAACATGCTTATACTTTAAAGGACAAAGCATTTTTCACAAATAAACAAAACATTTTATAAAAATATAATAAAAAAAAAAAAAAAAGTAAACACTGTAACCAACAGGGCACTCAGTAATCTGGGAAGTTTGTGTGCATTGGGAATCACATTTTTTCAAATAAAGCCAAGGTAACACTCATTGTACACACAGCACAGTGAAAATGACATGAATAAAAACTCGCGTTTGAATCATCAGTGGCAAATCCTTTAAATTAAAACGTACTTACAGTCAGAACAGCCGGCATTTCTAGTCGTGTCCTCTTTTGGAAGGCCAAACAAAGTAGTTTCGCTTTCACAACGAAACACACGGCGGGCTAGAGTGAGCGGCGGCCGGTGGCCCAGAGTGATAAATAATTATGCTGAAGGTAGGGCTGGGACAATAAATCGATGCATCACGATTCGTGGTTCGATTCTGAGAATTTCGGAATGCATCGTGATTCTGAGCTTAGTTTTTAACAGCAGATGGCGCTCTAGGCTAGTTTTTAACCGCACACTCAAATGCTTATGAAGAAGAGCACTTGCGCGTTCGGCTGAGTAATGTAAGTAGTTAAATATACTTGCACATCGGCTTTTATGCTTTTATTATCGCGATAATCGGCATAATCGGCATAATTGCCAAAGCCCTAAAACAGACAATTAAGCGCAATAACCGTGACTATTTTTAGACAATTAATCGTTAGCCAAATTTCATAATCGCCAAAGCCCTAAATATGTGGCTTCAATTCAGAAACTATGACGTTACCAACTACTTGCTGAGAAAGATAATGTAGATCTTCAGTAGGGTTGGCTACCGAAACCTGGTACCAATATGGCACCGGTACCTATGTAACAGGTATGTACTAGAACCGAATCAGAACGCAGATTTCGGTGGCACTTAAATGCTTGAGCGAGCGATTGAAACATTTGTTCTCTGGTTCTCCTAAACGGACGTAAGGAGCACTGGCACCGCACGTGAAAAATTATTTCCCGACTGAGAAAATTCATGAAAGCAAGTCGGAAAGCTCTAATAATACAAATCCAACACATCTTTGTAGTAACGAGTATCCATGTTGTTTTCACATTCCGACTTAAAAGCACAACTCTGAAAATGAGAGCATCCGAGGAGCGCGTGAATGCAGCAATTACACTTGCTCTGATGGCAGCAGGTAGATACCGTTAGCTAGCTAAGCTAAACATTCTTAAA